TGCGACCTTTGCAAGAATTTTTTAATTCAAGATTCCAAATTTAAGAGTTTTTCCACAGGCTGAACCTATAAGATTTGCCAAAACTTGTCTTGCTCTTCCAGCAATGTTGTTTACTTGGCCTCGTGCAAGAAATGCAATTTGCAATACGTGGGTTCTACTTCCACTGAATTCAAGGTGCGTTTTCGTAATCACAAGTCATCTATGCGAACAAACAAAAAAACGTGCGAGCTTGCAGTCACTTCAATTGTATCAAACACGAAATTTCTGAAATTAATTTTATTGTTATTGAGAAAATTACCAGCCAAGGGGACGTAGCTTATATTGATAGAACATTACTTAGGAGAGAGGCCCACTGGACCGCACAACTTTGTACACTTAGTCCCCACGGACTTAACAAAAGGCGCGAATTCAGATCCAAAAATCGCGTCAGCTATAATACGTAATTAGGGCATCATTTACACAATGTAATTGAGTTCTTCGCAACCAATCGTGGTTATTTCGCCCCTTGCACATTCTTGCCTTTTCCTCATTATTATATCCTATTATTTAGGTCTGGAATGCATTACGCAACACCATTTATATTTCTTACGCTTAGTATAAATTCAGGTCATTCTGTAAACTTACTAGGACTTTTAGTTTTTAGTTTTTATGTAAATAAGTTCCATCTGAAGAAGGCCGAAGGCCGAAACGTCGCCACATTAAAGCTGGAACAGTTAGAAGTTTGCTTCATGTTTCATCGTTTTACACTTACTATATATATATATAATATAGCAGTACATTATATATATATAATATAACCCCATGTCATGAAATGATGTCCGGATTGGAAAGAACCTGCTGATCTGTCCATAAATGGAAAAGTGAAATAAATAATAATAAATCCCCATAAGCGGACAAAATTGGCATCTAGCAGGAATTCTCCTTAAACGTTTTTAACGTATTTAAGTGTTGAAAATGCATGGAAATGATCTACTATCATAAGCCATTCAGTGAAAAAAATAAGCTAGTTGATCACTTCCTATTTCTTTGGCGGTTTTACCCCATGGATAATTATAATCTTAATTCTTAAATTTTAATTAAGCACCTTTAACACCTCTTTCTTTAAAGTGACTTTAAGGGTAAATTACTTATACTTTCCGCTCTCCGCACTAAGTTTATAATTAGATAACTTGTTTTAGGAACACTAGCTCTCTTTAGGGAAAAGATGGCGTTACCTTGGATACGCCCTTTTTTCCCAGAATCTTGGGTTTTTTTTGTTTTTGATTTTTGTTTCGCCAGCTAAGTGAGAAAAGATGACGATGGATAACGATTGATAGCAAATTAAGGGTCACGTTTATAAGCTGGTGACCAAAATCCCTACTCAGATCTGAGCTAGACTTCAAGGCAGTAAGTTCTGTAGAGTAAAAGGAATTAAGAAAGAATCGCTACACACGAGAGTGTTAGAAAATATCCTAGCTTCTACCACAGAACATTTCCACGTCAGTAACGTAATAACTGTGGAACCGCCATTAAATAAGATGCGGGAACAGATGGACAGATCAACAATGTACCATGCATTTCCCGTGTTAATCATCTACAGTATAGACTCCGACATACGTTCCATCCTGTGTCCATGATGGCGCGTCGAATGTGTCTCATTCTCCAACAGTAAATGAGAGGATTCAGCGAGGAATTCACGAACATTATTGTTTGAGAATACATGTAAAAGGCGAATGTTGCAAATGCTGAGTCGTCAAAATTATTGTTAGGGATTATCTTGGTGACAAATAAAAAGTATTCCGGCAAATAACAAACACAAAAGACAAAATTAACATAAAATATACTGAGTGCAGATTTTTTAAATCTCGAAGCATTTTCCAAGTCACCATTCTGCACAGTTTGTTGAACTTGTAAAGCTTGAATTTGATTTTTGTGGCGTCTTACCGCAAAGTAAAGCCTGAAACATGAAATCTTCATACAAATAAAGCAAATACTCCAAACGCTTACGAAAAGTTTCGTTGAAATCAAGTAAAGGGAGGAAACGGCTGAAAGAAAAGCACTCAAAACCCAAGCAAAACGATCGCTATAATAACACGTTTCTGAGTTACAAGTTCTTGATATCTTAGATGAAAGTGAACTGCCAAGAATCTGTCCACACTCAATGCTATGACTCCAAAAAACGAAGCATTTGCAAGTGTAGTTACAATGGGCCAAAGTGGTATGATCATAAACATAAAACTAGGCCTCGAAATGGATACAATGAATAACGGCTGAGATACTAAACCAACAGCGAGGTCAGATAAAGCAATACTCAAAAGCAATGTTTTCATAGGTTTTGGTAGGGACGAAGTCCTTCTCAAGGCATGGATTGTCAAGGTATTCAAGACGATCGCTGTGCAGGCTGAAAAGACGTTTAAGGCAAGATTGACGACTTCCGCATTCGTTTTCGAGAATGTTTCGTTGTTTTCTCCCATACCGTATCAAGCTACGACGCAACACAAGGCGTTTTTACGCGAGTGTGCGAAAAACTAACCTCTTGGCTTGCAACTAAGTATCTTGATCTTTGTCAGATGAAAAGCTCCTTAAAATACTTGTCAATGCAATGCGCTTTATTGATACAATTTATTTTTCAAATATCAAAAGTAAATACCGCGCAAAATGTTAGCCCCTTTTACCGGACTGTATTGTCTATTTCTCAAAAAAAAAAACAAAAGGAAAAAAAGCCACAATTTTACATCTCGTGAAAATGTTATTTGACTTATTTACATTGCGGTAAATTAAAATCTAATTAGGTCATCAGTAGAATTGATGATTGTTTGCTGAACATTTTCTAATGAAGTGTGAACCCCATTAGATATAATACTGAATTTGTCAGGACTACCTCGCTTACGAGAAAACAAATTTTCTTTCCAAGAAAAATAATTATTGGCTGTAAAACATCAAACAGAAGAATCATCACTACTTTCACCACCAGCCGGTAACAGAAAGGCATCTGCATAGTTGAGCATCACACCCAAAAAACAAACGCCGAGTTCCCATTATCATTATTACTAAGGCACAAGCACAGCCGACCGAAAACATCTGGAATGTGAGTACTTCTTGCTGCAGTCCTTTTGACATCAGTCAGCTGGATGGAAAACCTTCATTTCTGGCAAACGCCAGAAAAACACAAATAACATCTAACTATCCTCTGGTGAAAACATTTCTCTAAGGTGATCGACTTGCAAGGTGATATATATCTGTTGCCCTTTTTCTTACCTACTGATGATGATACGAACTAATAAAAAAGGTTCTCCAGACGGACTAAAGACGAAGGGCTAACGCTCGAAACGTCAGCTTTAAAACTCTTTACGGTGGTTTATTTACTTCAGTTGATAAAACCAAAGTTACTTGGACTGTAGAAGTAGTTGTTTAGAAGTAGTTCTGTAGAAGTAGTTGTTTAGACTACTAAATTGTTTTGTTCCGACTACTAAAATAATTTTTTCAGACTACTAAGATAACTTCAAGCGAAAAGCACATGTTTCTATATACCATAATAGCACGTAACGCAGCAAAAAATGTCCTCAGTAGGGTGGTCCCGTCATAAGTCCAGTCTCACGGGGGGGGGCGTGAGATCCTCCCACTGCAGGTCCGGGCCTGAACAAGATTAACAAAGCGGACGAACTGACTCTTAAATTACCCCCCTCGGTTTATTACGAGAGTGTAAAATGTTTTAAATGAAAATCCTGGCTACTTACTCCGTGTGTCTTATATGTCCGACCATATCTAGTGTGGGCTCCTTCGATGCTATTTTCTGAAATGTGAAATCTCGGTAAGGTTGTACCGGCCACCCGGCTCTCCACATCCCCACCTCTTGCTATTCAAACCTAAACATAGCTTTCCCTACGTTTTTTTTAGTCCTGATTTCCTATCATCAGAATAACTCGACTCTGATGAGGACTAGTGCTCGGGCTATCGAAACGTCAGTCACTTACAGGGCCACTTTATCCGGTCGATCAGACTGTGCGATAAACCGTAGTCTGAGAGCAGGCTCGCATACGCGCTGCAGCACGAGCGACAAAAGAAAAGAGGCAAGGAAATCGTGTAAAGCGATTTGTTAGAAAATTGACGAGATGCATCGCAAATTACATTTATAGCTTTCTCAGCAGGCTCGATATTGTTTCTAATTCATTTAAGGAGGCTGGACATAGTTTCTTTGGCGCGCGCAGACTGGGTTCTAGTTAACCCGGGACTTTTTAAAAGTTGCAAAGTCGTAAAACAAACAATCAAACAATTTGTTTGCTTTGCAACAAAAGTTGCAAAACAAACAAACAAACAAACATGGCCGCCGCGCGTGAGCCAATATTATTTTTTCATCTGCCTAGTACACTATGTTTTACGCCTATAGGTAGGCTGCCTACACTTTCTTCTAACTTTATTAGTAGTGTGTTTCAAAAACGGAAAGCTACAACACTCTCCAATGACCATAATACGCGTGAATCCGGCCGTAAATACGATCGCGATCGTCGGAGCTATTTTCCCAAATCGTGGCTGGTTTCCGGAACACTAAATAGGTGCTACCTACATGCAATATCAGTAGCTACGCTTCTCGAGTCAACAAGTCACTGTCAAAACTGTGAATGGTGAGAGAACTTTGCTCAAAGAGAATTATCCCTTCATTCTGGCTATTCTGACGCAGATCAATGCCGTACTTTAAAATTTAAGCCTGGCAGGGCATTTCATGGTAAACGCCTCATGAACCACGGGATCCGCACCGTTGAAGTCAAGGTGAAGGAGTTTTGCAAAATGTTATGTTTTATGGAGCCGGACTATGTCAGCATCAATCTTGATAAACGAGTTGATGAAAATGGAAACTATAAATGCGAATTAAATAATATTACTCACGAAGGACATGCGCATGCGATGACAGAGGAAGAACATTTCTTTTATCATGCAACTGAGGTAGGTTTCATCTTTACCTTTTCGAAGGAAAGGAGCTAGGCTCATGATCGCTTCAATTCTTTTTTTTTTCTTTTTTCTTTTTCCAATCTGTTTAATATATCCTTTATACAACAAGATAAGTACTCCCCGGTCTTACCAGTAGATTTTAATCGATTCTATTTCCATTTGAAATTCGAAATGAGAGGGATAGATTTCAGAATCACTGATAACCCAAACGACATTGCATATATTTTAATATGTATGTTATGGTTGTATAATTTCTCTTTCGACCTCAGAGCGCTTGTGTTAAAAACCCTTGTAAGAAGAACGCTATTTGTCAAAGTGGTTTTACAGAGAAAAGACATGGCTGTTTGTGCACTACTGGATTCAAAGGTCGTGACTGTGACCAAGGTAAATTGTTTAATTAACAATTAAAAACCTGCACAGGCTCTTGTAAGCTAATTCTTTAGTCGAAGTTTATTCACCATTATATTCAGAATATTACTAGCGGACGTAATTTGCCCCCGAGCTTCAAATGGAAGGAAATATCCAAAACAATTACATCACCATAATTTCAAGAGAGGTGAAGCTATAGTCTTTGTTATCCTTCAAATATTCCTTGCAAAAGCGCGGAAAAAAAATTTAAATAGCCTACCGCCGAAAACGGATTGTCGAATCCACCAACACTTTAAAGTAAAATAATACATTTCTGTTCTTCTGTAACACCTGGCAGTATTCTTCAGACTTAAATTCAGTTTTGAAGGAAGACTACATTGTTCATCATTGCATTGGACGCTATTCAACAGGTGTTGCCGCGAAAATGTAAATTCCTTTGTTTGTACCGTTCTGCCACTTTGCCTGTTTATAGCGTTTACTTCTTTGACGATGTAGAGTACTTGTCAGAATTGGTATACTTTGTTAGTTGTATTGTGTAGTTTGCCAGTTATTGTGGTTGTGCTCATATATTCGCATAATATTACAAAATTGATGTTGCCTTATTGATCATGCTTTGTAGACAAAATTACGGTCTTGAAAATCAACAATACCTACTTCTATGTCCACTTTTCAGTAGTTGCGATGTTTAAACGCGGAGAGATTTTTATTCTGTACCCGTAAATCTTTTAGCTTTTGTTTTTCTTCTGTTCCATTCTCCTTATCATGGATATATGTGCACGTTTTCGTTATCCTATGTGCATTTTCCTTATTTATGTCTAGTGTGGTAACTGTGTGGATTCTCAAATCAAATGACTGTGACTTTTGTTACTCTTGAGGAATATCACCGTTTTAGCTAAAGAACATACAGTCTCGTGACGCGTGAACAAAAATATTTGATGGATTAAAAAAGGTTATGAAGAACTCCTCGACAAATGTTAGCATTATGCGTGCGTATTCTCTCTTTGAATACCTCGAGCTCGTAAAGAGAGGAACGTGGTTCATTAAGCGCACATCTAAAACTACCTAAATGGATCTGCTACTTATGTCTGCTGTCCCCATGAATAGATGATTAACAGTAAAAGTTTTATTGATAAAACGCATATTTTCCTTTGGTTTTTCTCTGTTTATTTTTTTGTTTGTTCTTTTTTTAATCCTTCAATGGGATAAACGGTGGTACAGCCCAAGTTTTTGCGCACTTTCAAAGGAGTTTTGATAGAAGAACGGGTTAGAAAGGTTTTCCTTTTCCGCGCATGGATACAACTTGCGTCACTTTCAAAATCAGTCACATGCAAAATACTACGACAAAAAATGACTTGTGATGCTTCTATCCTCATTAAAAGCCTGTTCTTGAAGCCCGATGCATATTTCGAAGTGTTTTTGAAAAGAAATTTTGGATATCGTCATTCGAGTAGTGCGTGTTGAGCTAGTTACGTTTTCTTCAAACGAGAAAAGCAGAATATCAAACTGAAGGGACTTTAAAGCAGAAGAATTTGGAGGGAAAGTAAAGAAGTTGTTTTTGAAAAATTTGGCTCTTATCGAACTCGGTTCAAGTCGATCTCATATTTAAAATGGCCAGGGCAGGTCAAATTTGATACCAAAGGAGATTAATTAACCAACAACTTATTATTTCACATCAAGCTATCATGAGGAAGCAAAAGATTCGTACAAGGCTGCAGTCTAGGCATGCACCTAAAATTTAGATTATGTCAGGATATGGCGTTATCTATTGTTTTCATTTTGAATAAAAGCAAAATTTTCAACCTTTATGATCGAATCGTTGGTCTTAAAATAATACTGAAGCGATTCTCTCCAGATGTCAGTGAGTGTTCCAGTGGATTACACAGCTGCAGTGCTGATGCAGTGTGCAGCGATACCAAGGGATCGTACAAGTGTTCATGTAAACCTGGGTATTCTGGAGATGGATGGTCTTGCAATGGTATAATTTATTTGCTTATTATATTTTTTTCGTAGGTGAAAGGAAAGTAAATTGATCAAAATAATATTTTGAATCCATGTTAAGATCAAATTACATATATTCAAAACGGAACTACCTAGTTCTCTATACTAAAAGAGGTTGAATATTCCAGATATAGACGAGTGTATCGAGGAAATATCCAACTGCAGTGCTGATGCGGTGTGCAACAATACCAAGGGATCCTACAACTGTATATGCAAACCAGGATATTCTGGAAATGGACAAACGTGCAAAGGTAAAGTTTTTGCTCTTTTCGAAACATTCTAAAAAGAGATGTGTTCAAATCGATGAAGTGCAACACAGACAGAAGACATCCCGTTCAGCTTGCGTAAGAGCTGCCTTCTAAATGTATCGTTTTCATTTTTTGACAGCAAGGACGAGCTTAGCCAGGTTTATAGAAAAGAGACTTGCAGTCTTGACATCTTTGTTCCCACAATCATGAATGAACTTGTGTTGCAGCCAAAAATTCGTTTGGCGCATCTTATTATTCAATTCGTATTGTCAAATTTTCCTTTAGGCCGTTTGTTCTACCCGCAATACTTTCAATGATGTTCCGTTACTTTTTTTTTTTCACAATTTTCTTTTGTTCGTATCGATCGTGCGACTTTTTCACGATAGCAACCGCTTTAATCTGATTCCTTCACCTCGTTTCGTTTTACATTTCGTATCTTCGGTGTTTATCTCGGAAGTGAACTAAAGAGCGCGTTTATTAGACATGTAACGAGTATTTAGGATTATCACAATTTGACTTCCGCTCCTCTAACTTTAGATTAGGTGAAAACGTATACAAAGTACTGTATTTCGAACACTTTCCCACCATAAAATGCATTGTTGCATTGGAAAATCATTATTGGCATTGAAAGCCATTTATTAGAATGTCAATAAAATTTGCATTGTGGGATAGCTACTTCAGGTATGGACATTTAGTAAGCAAATGTGGTGGTTTTTCTGATATTGATAATTGGTATACTATCTCTCCATACCGGAATTTATTACACGCAGCATGCTTTTAAAGACGTGTACGCCATCAGATTGGGATAAATATCTTTATATATTTATCTGAGCACTGATACGCAATCTACCTGTGTTATTTTATGGTTGTTCTTACTATAGGTCCGTCCTTATACACATGCAAAGAAATTTTTGAAAGTCAAAGGTAATAAATCGTTGATAGCTATTACAACTAAGAGTTAAGTTTAAGAAATGAGAGATGTTTTCCTTGTGGTTGATACAATCGAAATCTATTTTCTCGCCCATAAACAGAATTGCCTTCGAGTAGCCTTTTAAGTATCAGTTAAACCCCAACGCACAAAAAAACTACCTTAATGTTAACAAGAAAGTAAATTTTTTTCTTATCAGTTCAAATGAAAACAGAGCTTACACACTCCGAGTGGATAATGTAGAGGTCCATGTTTACTGTCACATGACTGATGATCTAATGAATTGCGGGGGCGGTGGTTGGACGCTAGTCATGAAAATCAACGGCACAAAGGTATCGTGACTTCCGCCATAAAAAGGTCATAAATCACTCTCATTAGGCCATTGAAAAGGTCCATCAGTCGATCCATCCATTACATTTTGAGTTAAGGAAGACTAAGCTTTGGGATGGATTACAAGAAGAATTTCCAAGCTCAAATCTTTAAAATCACGTAAACCAAATATATCACGTTCTTCACTCCCACTGCAAAACGTTTCGCATTATTTCTGTCACGTTTTTGTCCACGCACGTGAACGTGCGTTCCAAAACAATAGGTTCTTTGAAATGAACACTTATTTGCGTAAAGGCATTCCTTAAACAAAATTTGTCACAATTCCACTCGTGCGATTTCTTTTTCAGGTGTTTATGTACATATCTTGCACGTTGCATTCGTGAGAGTGCAGAGAGAGGTTAAACAACCTTTAGCATTCACGCACGGGCCTGTGTTGCTTGCACGTAAAAGCGAAACGCATGATATTGAGTTATACGCAGCAGTGGAAATTGCTTTATGCAGTTTTATGCACGGAGTTCCTTACACGAAACTCAAATATACCATAAGTCTTACTTGCTACGCAATTTCCCAACAATGCAATTGTAACTTTCTCTCCTCTTAGCCAACCTTCCAGTATAACTCTCATCTCTGGAGCGACAAAAATGCTTTTAATCTTGTTGGAGGCATGGCTGGGTTTGATCTTCAAGAAACCAAGTTACCGACCTACTGGAACACTTCCTTTTCCAAGATCTGTCTCGGTATGAGGATAGGCAGTCAGATCAATTTCTTTGCAATCAACAGGCAGGCAAACTCACTATACTCACTGATCGCTGACGGCCAGTACCGCAACACGTCATCAGGTCGAACCACTTGGAAGTCACTGATTGGTTCTCAGGCTTCTCTACAACATAACTGCAACAAGGAAGGGTTCAATGCTATGTGTAGTTCCCAGAGTGCCTCGAAAGCAAGAATTGGTTTTCTTGCCAATAATCAGGCCAAGTGCAATACTTGTGACTCTAGAATTGGCTTTGGTACAGGAGGGTATCCTGACGACACAAACACATGTGGTAACCAAGCAACACTCACAACCGACAATGGAGACAAACATATTAAAGCCATGGGGTATATCTTAGTGCAGTGACAAGGAAAACAGCGACTGTCGAATAAAAGGCGCTGATAAACGTATGATTTTAACTGGAAATAAGTATGTCGATATAACGTGAGGAGATACAAAGAAATAACATGATTAGTCTAAACTTTGATTTTCTCAAACCATTTTTCTTTTTTTTCATGCTCAAAATCGATCAAGGTTAACGTTTCGTTGATAGTGTGGGGGTCGGGATCAGAGTGCAAAAAGCCCCTTGGTTAGTTCAATGAATAAAAGCGATGTTACCACCCTCCCCAGCTTAAAATCGTTATTTTACTAATATAGCATAGCCTGTTTGCTATCTTCCGGCAGCCCAGGGAAATGGAGAAGAAACTTCACACGACATAGGATTTTTCTCATTATTGTCACGATTATTTTATTATTATTCTCTTTGGCTCTTTTTTTTTCTTTCATTTGTTTTTTTTTAGGACTTTTTGGTAATTCTGTTCTTAAGAATGATGTCCTGATTGAAAAGAATCGCTTAAACTATCCATAAATGGAAGAATGAAATAGATAAAAATAAATCCCCAAAGTAGATGTTAGAAGAAAAATTGGCATCCAACAGGAATTTTCTTTATGTGTTTTTTTCAACTTAAGGTTTAAGTAAGTAAGTAAGTAAGTAGAGCTTTAATTGAATCCATATGGAGGCCTGTCTAAGGCTGAATTGCATTAATTTACAAATTCCATTAATACAAGGCTTATAATATGAAAAACTAAAAGGTTTGGAAATGCATAAAAATAATATACTATCAGAAGCCATTCAGCTAAAAAAGAATTAAGCTAGTTGATCGTTTCCTATTTCTTTGGTGGTTTTACCCTATAATTGTTATGATCTTAATTCTTAAATTTTAATTTAGCGCCTTGAACACCTCTTTCTTTAAGGTGACTTTAAGGGTTAATTACTTATATTTTCCGTTCTCCGCACTGAATTTGTAATTGTATAACTTGTTTAGGAACGCAAGCTCTCTTTGGGGATAAGAGGGCGGTACTTTGGGTACGCCCTTTTTTCCTCAAACTCTCTACTGTTGTTGTTTTGTTGTTGTTGTTGTTGTTGTTGGTTTTTTTATTATTATGTAACAATTTTCAAAGACTGTTTTCTCTGTAGTTATCTTTTTTCGTGTAATTTTGATGCTTTTAATAGATACTCTATAATTTTTATGTGACCAATCTTGTTTTCGTTTTCAATGCCAGATCTTAGCCGCAAGAGTAAGAAATTTAACGCAGAAAATGATTTTGTAAAGAGTAAATATCTCGAATCTCATACTTAGTATGTGGAAGTTGTTTTCACGTAACTTGAAGGGATTCGCCAGCTAAGTGAGAAATGATGACGATGAATGAGGATTGATAAATTAGTTAGTGTCACCTTAATAAGCTGGTGACCAACACTCACACTCAGTTCTGAGCTACACCCCGAAGCAGTAAGTTCTGTAACGTAAAAGGAATAAAGAAAGAATCAACTACACATTAGAGTAAAAATATCCTAGCTTCTAACACAGAACATTTCCACGTTAGTTACGTAATAACTGTGCGAACCACCATTAAATAATATGCGGGAACAGATGGACAGATCAACAATTCACCATTTTCCGTGTTAATCATCCGCAGTATAGACTCCGACATATGTTCCGTGCTGTGTCCATGATGGCGCCTCGAATGTGTCTCATTCTCCAACAGTAAATAAGAGGATTCAGCGAGGAATTCACGAACATAATTGTTTGGGAATAGATATAAAAGGCAACCATTTCAAGTGCAGAGTCATAGAAATTATTTGTAGTGATTACCTCGATGATAAGACAACAATATTTCGGCAAATGACAAAAACAAAAGTCAAAATTAACATAAAATATACTGAGTGCAGATTTTTTAAATCTTGAAGCATTTTTCAAGTCACCATTCTGCACTGTTTGTTGAACTTGTAAAGCTTGAATTTGATTTGGGTGGCGTTTTACAGTAAAGTAAAGCCTGAAACATGAAATCGTCATCTAAATAAAACAAATACTCCAAACGCTGACTAAAAGTACCTTTGGAATCACAAGCAAAGGAAGGAAACGGCTAGAAGAAAAACACTCAAAACCCAAAGCAAAGCCGTTGCTATAACAACACTTTTCTGAGTTACAAGTTCTTGATATCTTAGATGGAAGTGAACAGCCAAGAATCTGTCCACACTCGACTCCAAAAAATGACTCCAAAAAACGAAGCATTTGCAAGTGTAGTTTGAATGGCCCAAAATGGTTTGGACGATAATGTAGAGCTAAGCTTTGAAAAAGTACAATGAATAACGGCTGAGATACTAAACCAACAGCGAGGCCAGTTAACGCAAGACTCAAGAGCAACGTTTTCATCGGCTTTGGTAGCGAAGAGGTCTGTCTCAAGGCATGGATTGTTAAGCTATTCAATACGACAGCTGTGCAGGCAGAGAAGGCGTTCACGGCAAGATTGACAACTCCCGCATTCGTTTTCGAGAATGTTGCGTTGAATTCTCCCATTTCGTATCAAGTTACGACGGAACGCTAAGCGTTTTTATGATGCACGATAAACTAACCTCTCGGCTTGCAACAAAATACCTTGATCTTTGTCATATGAAAAGCTCCCCAAATTACCTTGTCAATGAAATGCGCTTTATGGATACAATTTGTTATTTTTCAAATATCAAAAGTAAATACCGCGCAAAATGTCAGCCCCTTTTTCTGGAATGTAGCGCAATTTTTTTAAATATAAGGGAAATAAAGTAACAACTTTTGCATCTCGTGAGAATGTTTTTAGACTTATTTACATAGCGATAACAACTAAATTAAACTTGGAATATAATTCAGTTTTCCGTGGAATCGAAAGAAGACTATCTGTATAAAAATGAAGGCAATTACGTATGATGCACGATCCTCGCAGTAGAGAGCGCTATTTATGCAATAGCGAAAATCAGACCTGAAAAAAATCAGGCCTGTACGGGATTCGAACCACTGACCTCTGCGATACTAGTGCAGCGCTCTACCAATTGAGCTAACAAGCCAACTGGGAGCAGGCCGTTAAGTTGATTCGTAATAAACCCGTGATGATAAATCAGATACAATGAATATATGAAGTTCATATATTTTGAACTGCGGTT